AGAAATCTTTCCTCAGATGAGAGCTCGGCGACCCGTATTCAAATCTCCCTCCTGCTACAAGGGATGACGTCATCGTCCACCCATCCGGCTCCGGGGACGACTAGGGCCACACCCGTTTTTGCTACGGCCAGGCCCGCTTTTGAACGGGCGGGTGTGGCCGTAGCAAAAGCGGGTGTGGCCGTAGCAAAAGCGGGTGTGGCCCTAGTCGTCCCCTATCATAAACAATCAATTCAAATAAAACTCTCTCTCCATTTTGAGTAACTTTACTCTTTTTCTAGCCAAATGAAGATGATTACAAACCTCACTTCTTCTAAGATGCAAAGTGCTTGTTGCACATATGTTCAAATTCTTGAAGTATTAAAAAATGCATTAGCTAGATTTTTGTTTAATTTTAAGTTGATTTATGTGATAATCATACTTTTTATTGAATTAGATATCTTATTTTGGAAATTTTATCTTTTCAAATTTGTTTTTTTAGTAAATTTTTTTAACACAAGTTTCTCATGGTCAGGTTTCAAGGTTAAAAAAGAAGGTGATGTTTATTGATAAGTGAATTGTTTTGATTGTGATACATGTTTTTGCAATCGTGATACATAAAATATAGTATGTGTTTTTATATATGATGGAAATTTCAACTTGTATCACATTCCTTCAACACATTTTAATATAAGAAAAAGAGTTATAAATCTAGATTGAAGCTTTGATGTCTCTATAAGAGAAAAATTTATTCTATATTATCAAATATGATCTCGTATTTGCAAAATCAACTCTCATCAATAAGCATTTGCATGTTGTTTTTGTTCATTTGAACAACTATCAACTTTTTTCTTGATTTGATGCAGCACTCTATGAATATGGTTCTCAAAATTGTAGATTGCAATTACTTGAAATAAGATTTCTTTCCTTTTGATAGTCTCATTAAACGTGATGAAATTTAGTAATTAGCATTGTACATGGTATAAAACAGAGACATTTTTGTAAATGCAATAATAGTTTTGATATATGCATATTTCACAAAAGACAAAAATTATTCTTTTGTTTTTGCTTGTTCAATATGAATGCCTGTGACACATACTCTACAAATGTATTTGTTTTCTCCGTTTGATCATCAAACAAAGACATCAACATTTAAGCAAAGTTTTAAAATTAAATTAGTGAAATGAGTATCTTTATCAATATTCTAAGTTTTTCTTAATCTATGATTTACAAAAAATTACATCTCAATACAATACATCAAGTTGTGAAGTTTACAATTGGAGTTGTTATTTTTTTGTGATTTGCCTAATGTAAATCATTGTTCAATTAATCGACAAAAACCACAATAAAATCATTTCTCAACAAGGATTTTTATAACTCACAAACAAGATTCATGATGACATGTTTTCATTATTGTTTTGAGATAGCAAAAGGTTGCAAAAACCACAACTAAATTTTCCTTGTTTTGTTTACAAACTACGCAAATTTTAACGTAAGTTTTCATAGCCTTTTCATACAGCAAACAGAGTTGGGTTTTAAGCAACAGGAACAAGGTTTAAATCTATTTAATTCTTTAAGACAGCACGAAGATATAAGGGGTGCCCAAACTTTGGAATACCTAAAACTCTTCAAAGGGTAGAGGCGGCGGGGGGGTCGGTGCCTTTGAAGGCTGTGGGACGCCTGAAGGAACTTTAGGGGTAGGTACATGACCCGGCACTTCCCCACCCACAGGGCCATTTGCATTGTCTAATGTCCTTCAAGTCGCACGGCCTTTCACCCCTATCCACAAGTCATCCCCGCCTTTTGCCACAAGCGTGGGTTCGGTCCGCTTATATTCCTACCAATGTGATTTCCATTACAGATGGAGTGCGACGTGACGTGTGTGGGATCGGTGAGTCGGGGGCGCATCGTCGTCCCCTGCGCTATGCTATGATAGATTCTGTTATTGCGTTGTCCTATTGGCTTAGTATCCATAATTTTACTCATGGGGAGAGGACAATTTTATTAACAGTTGGAGGGATATCTGCTATAGATGCTTTGAATCCTTTCTGAAATGTGAAGGATTGAGTATAAGAAAGTTGTTTTGTAGTAGTAACTTTGAAAGATATAGTAGTTTCGCTCATAATAGTTTTATGGGTGGTCGGGGTTTTTGTCAAAACAATGACCATTCATGGCTGATCAATAAAAATGCAGCCAAACTAAAAACAACCCAATATACTAAAATCAACCCGAACCCTTATGGCCCAAAGGGGGGGGTTAACAGAAGAGACATAATATGCTTCGCACATTGGAAGATGAAGAAGATTAAATGGACATATTTTTTATTTCTTTTTCTTTTTTCAATAACAAGTAAATTTGGGACCGATTTGAGGAACCAATTCGCTGCCAGTGGTACCCAAGTAGCATTGAGGATACTGAAAGTAAGCAAAATTAGGTTTCGGGTGACCCGATTTATCACAAAATCCCTTCTCTGCCAGAAGATCCATAATACACTCTTATTGTATGTACGCTAAAATGTTTTTCACTACATATGACCTATAATGATTGTATCATGATTTTTTGATTAAATCAATGTGTGTAACTCTTTATCTTGTGTTATTCATATATATTGCTTATAAAAAATCAAATTTAAAGCTTTTTTTGCCTTACTAGCTTGTAGTAATGATCTCTTTATCTTGCTTTGTAATATGTGTCATTTTGTCTCATCAATAAGCTTGAATTTTCACATTTGCAACACAATTAGGACATGACATGGGTGTGAAAACATCCACAAGTTGTTTTTATTCCTTCATGTACACAATTTTCATGTTGAAGCATTATCACTATTTTGATGTTAAAATTTTTTGTTTAATTATTTGATTTAAATTGATTGTTCATGATCAATTTTCATCACAAATTCTTTTATCATCTAAGCAATGCTTCAAGTTTTTTGTTGCCAAAACAATGATTAGTTCTTTTTGTTCTGTTGTCTTTCATTATCATCAACTTGAAAAAAATATAGTAGATTTTATTCATACTTTTATTCTTGTTGGCGTATGTCATATATTGTTGTACTTGACACATCAATATTTAGCTTGATAGATTAATTATGATCAACAATTTGAAAATACGTTTGTGTAATGAATCATCTTTCAATGCTTGAAAAACTTACTCTTTAGTTTTTTTTCAATTCCATTTTTGCCTACCATAGATGTCAAGTATGGAGTTTGAAGAGCAAATTTTTTCACAAATCTGCAATAAAAATTGATGAATTCTAAATAACACTTGAAATAAATTTTGATCTTGAGATGCTATTCATGTTTAAATGGCTTGTATTTTTTCACTTGTCATTTGAAATATTTTTCTTAAAACTTTATGATTAAAGTATCTGCTTTCAACTTGTCAAATTCACATTTTGAAACTTTGGCATATGAATTATTTTTTTGCAAAATTTGCAGTACTTTTTCATGAATGATTGTAATGATCATTCATATTTTTGCTATATAACAACATATCACCTAAAAAATAATAACAGATGTGTTTGAATAATTTAACCATCTTTACTTAGATATAACTAAAATAGATATTATTCAAGATGTGAATTATCTATAGTTGTCAAGTGAACTGTGGTGCACATTATTTTTTATTATTGCATAAAGAAGTAAATTTGAAGTATATTGGCGATAGAACATGTACATATAGGTTCATAGCCGTAATGGTTAGAAGATATAAAGGAAATTAGATATCCAATAGTAAGTGGGATGCAATCCGCCTCGACCAAAGATCTTCAGACTTCAACCTCGACATCTTCAGCAATGTAATAGACGGATCTTCGGCGAAGATGACTTGTCACAATTTGAATTTTCCAGACAAGAAGTTCTTGCATTGCAAGTGTCAATTTGCGCTCGTGTGAGACCGTTAGGGCGTCAAGGATAAGGGCACAAAGCAAACACTTTGCGCCGACATTGTGTGAGAGCGCGACTTGCAATTGGGAGCATCAAAGATTACAGGGCAAGAGACATGACGCGACATAGGAAAGCCATGGGACCAAAGTTGATTTTGCTCAAGGTGGCCGATGTGGAACTAAAGAACTATCGTCAAGAGTTAATCACGGCGCGCCTCAATTTTTTGCTCCGGAATTGGAATTGCATGTCGGCTAAGATCTGTCAGAAGTTGATGGACAAGAATCGACATGAGGGTACCAACTTCCAAGTCAATCCGTTGTTGTGGACGGTCAAACATTGGACACACGTCTTACTACCATGCGTGGGCAAGGAAGGAGACTATACCTTCAAGAAAGGAGTGTGAAAGTGGCACGAGCCAAAGAATTTACATTCGCGCCGCTCTTCAAGAATACTCGATCGAGTACAAATGTTGGAGGACAGTGGAGTATTGCAACCCGAAGAGGCGTGCGGTAGCAACAGCTGTGATGCATATCTTGCGGCCGCAACGGACGACCTATGTCACGGCGTGGCAAGTGGAATTTATAGAGCACGTAATGCAAGGAGAGGCAATGCACAAGGCAAAAATACTTTGGAACTGTGTTTAGATCAATGTTAGCAATAGGTGGCATGGAGCTTTGATAAATCATATGACTCCCTTCTTGGTGAAATTCTATAGCAAGATGGGTCTGTTGACGAAGAATGAAGAGAAGTAATTTTCCAAGGAAAGGAAGGTCTTGGAGCTGGAGTCCGACGAAGACTTTGAAGAAGACGACACTGAAGCCGAAGAGACCCCAGGAGCAGCATGAGGACTGGTTTGAGTGAAGGTGGTCACGGTGTGGAAAGTGAATTCCACTTGTTTCCGGCCGAACAAGTATTTCTGGCCAAATTTTTTTTTTTTAAGAAGTTTTTTTTAATAAAAGAAGTAAGTTTATAGGTTAGTGTGTAGTAACTACCGATAACAAGGTTGGGGATGGGATGGAGGAAAGAGGAGCAAGGGAAGGGGGTTTCCTTCCTGGCTGCGGCTGCCATCTCTGCCTCATCCCGTGCTGGTGCTGCAGCTTCTGATGCTACCGATCATGATGCAGTCGCTGCACTGATCCGGTGATGGTGGTAGCTAAGCCGATGTTGCGAATGAAGCTGAGACTGTTTGTGGCTATTAGCTCGGCTCTCAACCAATGAAGGCTGTTGGAACCGATGAGCGTACGTTCCCAGAGAGAGTCAGTCCATCGGACGGAGGGAGTCGGAGCATAATCCGCTTGGTGCCTGAGAACAATGGAATGGTAGAGAGATATCGAATGACAGAGACTACGCGGAGGTATCGGCGGCAATGGCGGAGGAGATCATCAATCAGTCGATTCGTTTCTTCATCATTCGCTTGCGTTTGTACTTGGAGCTTCAGGTTCGGAGAGGAGGGGCGTGCCGTGTTCTTGATGGTGTTTCTTTGCATTGACTTCCTCGCGTTCAGTTCTTTGGGTTTCTTTCTTTTCTCTCTGTTCCACTCTCCAGTCAGCGAGCGCTGGCTCATTGGACAAGGACGAGAGAGAGGCGGGCAGCAAGGGCATCGAGAGGGGTTCGTTCGTCGGGATGTTTGGCCAGGAGGCATGATGGATCCATTCGGGGTTTTGATAGTAGCTGAGATTTGATTGCAGGGTTTTGACAGGGAATGAATCGCAAGAAGAGGAGGAGGAGGACAGGCTGACGAGCGATGGCCATTCCGGAAGCGCACTCAAATTCACACGTCAAGATCCGCATCTGTCCCCCTTCCATCTCTTTTTCTTTATCTTCAGATCTCTTTGTACCCTTGCGTCGAAGCACACGATTTGATCTTTCTTATCATTCTTAGCAATAATTCGCTGAAGTGCTCCTTGTGATGCGGAAATCTCAATCTCAATATTTCTCTTTTTCTTTCTCTCTCTCTGTCTCTCAAAGTGTTTGTGTCTATCGATCGATCGGCCATGTGAGGATGAGATTTGGTGATTGGTCGTGGATTGGAGGAGGAAGAGAAGTGTTGCTGCGACTCTGTGGCGGCCAACTTTTGAGAGCGAAACTGAAATATTTGGCGTGGTGTGAACCGCAATCGAGAGCAGGGCGCTGCGGTCTTCGTGGATTTCTTCTTCTTATCTTGGTGCTGATTGGGGTTCCTGGGTGAAGGGGGATTGTGGAAAAAGAATGAGGGAGGATGGGGTACTCGAGATTGCGAGGGTAGTGGTATGTGCGTGGAAATCAACCGAGGAACGGCGCGGGTTAGGCTAGAGAGGACGAAGGGCTGCTCGAGAAGCAGTTGAGCAGGGAGGAGCAGACTGGATGCAGGGATAATAAACAAAAAGCACACTCATGGCTCCTAATGCAGCAGACGACATATCTCAAAAGGTCCTGAGACCTTTTCTCTTCCTCTTCAGCCGTCCTTCAAGCCTCTCGTTCCACGGCTCAAGAGCTGCCAAGAACGTGGGAAGAATCGCTTCATGCTTTAAGCTTCTTCTTGATAGTATCAGCTCTACTGATCCTTGAAGTAACTACTGCTCATTGGCCATCGGTTCTTTAGAGGAGCAATCAAGATGGGTTTATCAAGCTCACAAGATCCTAGAACTCAACAGTGCAGTTTTGGCGACGATGGCTCTGCATGGAAAAGTATAGAAGGAGCAAGGACAATCTTGCCAGGTTTGGCCATGCGTGTTATGGTTGCGATGAGGGATGCAAGCATGTGGAAGAGTTCGTCTCTGCAAGAAAGCCGAGACAAGGCCAACTTAGCTGTACTGGGTCTCCTTGAGTGGTTGGTAAAGGGGAACTCGGGGCTTTTCCGGCCGTTCGTTCTTATGTGTCGACTAATTTACCCATCCCAAAGACTGGCAAGGATAACAATCATCCTCCAAAACAGGACAAGTTCATTGTCACAGCAAGTGCTATAACCATGGCTTTAAGGCCCTTAACTATCTTGTCGGCAGCGTATCCAGCTCAACTTGGAGTAAATGATGGCAACCGAACTTTAGAAGCCTCATGTGTTTGCGCAGCTGAAAGTTTTGTTGCCCACATTCTTACAATACCTTTCCTTGTTCAGCACATTCCTCCTTCACTTGTTCCTGCCCTTCAGCACTCTTCTGCGCTGGCACCTTGTCTTTGGTCATTTGGGGTTTCTATGAGCGGACCGATGAAGGCTGCAACTTAGTCTCATACGCATATGAGTAAAGAAGAGCAGGAACTTGAAATATTTCTCCCTTCATTATGAACTTTGGCTAATATGGTCAGTCTGGCTTCTGGATCAGGCCCAGCAACTCTTGAAGGCAAAGAAATTGCGGGACCGTTTGGTAAAGGATTGGATTTTGAGGATTATGTACAGGCCCTTTGTTGTTTACTAAGTGATTTGAGACCCTAGATTGATAGCAAACAACAGCTGCAGCCGTTTAGATCAAGGTATACTTCTGAAGACTGTAATGAAGGTGACGTAAATCACTTTGGAATATTTATGGACAGTGCTTGTAGTTCTATAGATCACAGTAGCAATGATAGTTTCACGACTGTGCATCAACTTCTCCAGGAGAATTTGGAGTTCAGACCGCAAAGTCAACCATTCCATCCAGCAGAAGCTCATTTGCTCCAAAGACAGGAATCAAGCTAAGAATGCTGGTGGAAAGTGGGCAGCTGCACTTGTTTTGAGAATGAGAACGAGAAGTTATGGTGCTGAGGGAAGTACCACAGCGGATAAAGCGGGAAGCTCAAATTTGGAAACGCTGGATTCTTTGAGGGAGTCCGAAGCTGATTGGGGTGCTTCCCAATTGTGGGCTTTAGAGGCAATGAGAAAGGGGCATGTTGGAGTTCCATCAGATGCTATGCCAGTGGATTCAAAAAAAAACTCCATATCCAGCTGCGTCTGCCACCAGTGCATCTCCAACTGGCTGTGTGAGCTGTATGTGAATGCCACTGTTGCCGATCATGTCTTGGGCAGTGAGCTACTGTCCTTATCTGCAGCCAAAGCGCAGGCGGATGGATCCCTGTAGTTGGATCATCTGATGCAGTCAAGTTCAAGCAACGAGTGATGATGATGGCGAGAGGTAGGATTCAAGTTTTCGCTATGTGAGTTAGCTCTGGCACTGAAATGGATAAACTGCCCACATTGTGGACGTTGATCTGGAATTGGATCTGAGCGCCTTATCGATCAAAGACCTGGGAGGTGAAGTTAGTCGTCATGCTCATAGTTCCGATTTCGTTTGTTTGAAGTGGATTGTTGACAGAGGAGCACCGCAGATGCAGAGGCAGTGCCAAGCAGAGATGTGATCAGGGAGCTCTGTTCAGGGTTAAGTCACGACGATCCCTTGTTGTGGACTGAAGATTCATCTCTTGTGGGAAAATTGTTTGGACAGCAGTTGTGCATGAGATTGCGCAGTCTTTATTCTTCCAGCAGTTAGTGGGAAGTTAGTGAGTGCAGTGTCAGCGACCTCGGTTGTTATTGTACTGAATATGTTATTGTAGTATGCCGATGGGGGCAAACAGGGAGGAAGATAAGTAGATGCTTGCTAGCTGGAGATGAAGCAGTTGTATGTTCGATGCCAGCCAGGTAGCCACCTTTCTTGTTGTTGGGTCCCCGTGCTTGAATTAGTGGGGAAGCGCCGAGCTTTCATGCCGTATGCTTGCGATTTTGGGCAGATCACCAACAACCCGCCGAGGTCTAGAAGCAAACCCCAAAACCCGACCCGCACAGCCAATACTTTTTTCTAAGTTACGGATCTGTTTTGCTGACTTACCTTACCTACATTATCGACAGGCAGTTCACCTTGGAGACGTGACGTGGTTATGAGTACCAACAAGAGAAGGAGGAGCATCTTGAGTTCACAAGGGACCAGATGAGCAGGCTCCTACATGGTTTCCATGATGTCCGGCAGAGCCTACAGTTCGAGTAATTCTAGGAGTAGGTTAGGTTCCGGATAGAATGGCAGCGATTAACGATGGGGCTTATTGGCATAGGCTGTTCATCCGGAAAGTTAGTGGCGGCCACTTATTTCTAGTGGCCGCCGCTAACTTTCCACAAATAAGCGGCGGCCACCGGTCTGGAATTGGCAGATACTAGTTGGTCATTTGTAGGCGATAGCATTTAAGCCGGGGATTTTTCCAAGGCAGGGGCCTTTTCCTATACTCTGTTTTGAGAACACACCTATAGCTCTGATGTGTGGAACGATTGTTGAAATAGGTCCAAGTACTGTTGTCTTTGGTAGATCATTGGGAAGAGTGTTAAACAATATGAGAATCTGGAGAGCGCCCGGAGTGAGGGGAAAGGTGTCATGCGTATAGAGTGTTGACGGTTTCCAACGTTCGGAAGGAGCTAGAGGGGAGGGAAGACTTACTGCAGCAGGGGCTGGTAGTCTTAAGGACACGGGATATCGTGTGTACACTTGACTCCGGGATAGGGCCGGTTGCTTCCTGGTGATAGGATTAAAGCCAGGTTACTAACTGCAAACCAGTCCGGAAGTTGGAGACAAAGTCGGATTAGATATTATTACCATTGTCTAAAAGGGGGAAAACTGTAGATCTTCTGTGGGAACGAACACGGAGTGGTTTACTTTGAGAGATATTTAGTGTAAACTAAGTGATTTTTGAAGGAATACTGATGTCACGCCGTGCTACATATGATTTTTGGCGTCGCTGTCGTGGATCTATATGATTTTCTTCCTTACAAACAAGAAAACTATTCATTGATCGGATCTTTGTTCGGATTAGGTTGTTAAACAGTATGAATCCAAACTCTAAAGAGACGGAAGGATTGAGAAGATCTAGTAGGAAGAAGAAGGAAGAACAAGAGCATGAGGTCTGGCCTTTTGTCACTAATAGAGTAAAAATAGATGAAGTAGATCGAGAGATAGCTGGGTTTTCCCGATCAGAGAAGTAGGCCGGAACACTTCCACCGGGGCCGGAGGCCGGATGGGAAGTTGAGGAAGTTCTCATGGCCCGGGCGTTTTGAGGCTGAAGTATCGGAAGTTCCCAAGAGGTGGACGAGAGGACGTGGATGAATGGTTGAGTGAGTTCAATGCCATGGCCGCCGTTAATCAAGAGGATGAGGCGGTGAAACTCAGGCTCTTCCAAGGATTGTTGAAGAAAGATGCGCTTCATTGGTATCAGGAGGAACCGGAGAACATAAGGAAGAACGGGAGGGCGTTAACCAAAGCCCTCTGAAGGACTTTCCAAGAAGTAGGAGGCAAGACCCGGACATTGGGAAAACTAAGCAAAATGAAGATGGAGCCAGACGAGTCGGTACGCAGGTATGGACAGCGGGTGAGAAGTTTGATTCATAAGCTTAGTCCCGAAATTGCGGCAAGCATCCAAGTGGAATGATATGTCGCTGGTTTACCGGACCCCATGGGTTTTTTGGTGCGTCAAACCAGATCTAAGACATTACATAAAGCCATGGAGGCTGCCAAAAACTATGAGAACTCCAAGCAGTCCATACGGCAGTATAGAAGGTCAAGGAAGAGTTCGAGACGTTATCGGAAGTCTAAACTTGGGATTCAAGTTTAGACTCGAGCTCGGAAGAAAGTTTTGAAACGGATAGGTGTGACAACGACGAAGGACGTTCCACCAGTAAGCCGGCCGGAAGCAAGGGTCGTCGAAAAGAGAAGGAACAGACGCTAGTTAAGATCAAGGAGGAGTATCCGTAAGAGAAACAAATGATCAAGGACCTAGTGAGTAACATTGAAGAACTCAAGGTCCCAATGGCAGAGGAGAAGAAGGCACACAAGGCACTTTTGACCCTCCGTAACAACATCTGGTGTACCAACTGTGGAGAAGCCGGACACTACAATAGGGAATGTCCACACGAACTCACAAAACGAGTCTTATTCGTAGATGAAGAAAGCTTGGTGTTCTTTGCGGAAGCCGGATACGAGAAGGAAGTATTGAAGATGTTACCAATGTATCAGCTGACCCCGACTTATGGAGGAGGACGAATGTTGCAACCAATTATAAGACCGCGATCGGGAATGAGCTATATGACAACAGGACATCCAACGGCGTCTAACCAAGTACGGCCGCCAGTTTCAATAGAGCGATAGTTTGAATGTTGTTTTATCTGTGAAGAAACCGGGCATTACGCCAACAATTGTCCCTAGAGAAGAGGGCAACGGGCGCCGTTGGAACTTCCGTGCCAAAACTATAGACAATATGGATATACGGCTTCCCAAAACCAACAGCTGGTCCAACCAAGAGTAATTTACAAACAAATGGAGGAACTCCCTCGTAAAAGGACCGGACTCAATTACAGCCACAAGGACGGAGTAGAAAATCCTGTCAATTGACGGTTACTGATGGAGCCGTGAGAGAAAACTGGCGTAGACATACACTAGGTCAGTTTACGTAGCTGCACTGTAACCATCTTTAGTTAGTAAGAACTAAAGTAAAAGTTACTTCAAATATTGATTTAGATATTTTAGTGTGCACTAGTCATAGTTTCCACGTTAGCGATCCGCGCACTTGGTAGATACAGAGTGGATGTATTAATTGACAGTGCCAAGTCAACTATCCGTGTGCTTGAAGGTAAGAATTGAATGTGTAAGTTGGGAGCGTCACGTCAGCAATCAGTGTGCTTGTTAAGGTTATCCGCCACGTCATTCATCCACTAGGAGTGGCATGGATGATGAGGATAAGATCTGATTTCATTGTACTTGTTGGTGAGAGTTATATAAGGGAGAGGAGAAACATTGTTGGTATGTCTCATATTCAGAGTTTACGTTTCTATCTTTGAGTGAGCTTCTCTCTAAACCCTAGTGTTACAATGGTATCATAGCGACCTTGCTCTTTCCTTGAGCGTAGATTATCCTTCATGGAATAGCAAATGAGTGATGATGAAGTGCAATTTTGAGACTGTATAAAGGCTAGCAAAGGTCATTCATATGCATGTAGAGAGAGGTGGAAGGAGTAAATTGTGGTTTTGCAAATATACACGGAATTGACAGGAATCCAGTACAGCACTGGCCAATTCTTAACCCGTTTGATATTCACCTTTGTTGCATGGGGAACTATTATTTTCGGATGTACCTTGTGGCTTGTCGGGGTGCAGATTTTATGACTAGAGTGATGGAGTTGAGAGTAAAATTGATTCTTCCAATAGTTATTTATGGAGAGACTTGGGATTGTACTATATACATTCTTACTGAATGTTTCATGGATTTGAATCGCAAACCACTTGTCCCAGTTTGGTTCAGCATTTATGTAGAGATTAGAATAATCCATCGACAAAATAGTATATGGAAAGATTTTTTTGTGAAGAATTATGGAGAGAACTTTTATAGAGCTGTGATAGAATCACCTATACGTTTTGTGGCTTTTTTGTTAAGAGGTCACATAGTGATTATACTCACTTTGTATTTGAGTGAGTGAGAGAACTCATGGGAACATCAAAGAATATGGGTGAGGCCTTCAATGCAATCATGGCGAAGATGAAGGAGTTGAGAAAAGCGATAGTAGATGGGCATACCAAGCAGCAAGCCATGGAAGATAAAATATTTGCATTGGAGAGTGAGAAAGTAGAGAGAGAGAGAGTTGGAGGGATGGAAATTAAACCTCAAGTTCAAGCTTCCCAAATTCAGCCAGAACAACTCTTATTGATGCAGCAGAGGCAAATAGGAGACGCCTTCAAGAGATTGAAGATCAAGCAAACCTTTTGCTTCAAATGGAAAAATCCTATAATGTGGAAGCTTACAAAGGAAGTAAGGGATGGAAGTGTTAGAATGATAGATTATGAGAATGAATATCTATTTATCTTATTTTCATGTTTCTAATTATATTACAAGAATGTTCATAAGATTTTATCTTACAGATAAAGCTTTCACATGGTACACAACATGGGAAATAATGCTTTCAGAACAATGTGCTTATAATACCAGATAAATACCAAAATGGAGCATAATGTTAAAGATCCAATTCCACGAGGACAGAAACAACACAATGAGTACCAATTGTCACGTTCTTAACAGTCTATTAAGGAGTTTGAATCTCGGAGGACACACAATGTAGCGTAAGTCACAAACTCACACCTGAAACAAGTCATTGCAAAACTCAGAGGTCAATCAGGACCTCAACTTAAGATTCAGGGGGGAAAATTCCCAAGTAGTACACTTAGAGGACCCGCAGTCAGCTGCCAATTACAAATTTGCTTAAATCTTGTCACTAGCCAATTGCTATATCAGGAAATTCGAATTGGGGCTCCTACTTCGGATGCGGTATCTTTGACAAACCGAAGTATTTCTCACGCAGTGACCAACACACCCAACTCACAAACGTGCAGAGAATATAGAGTTCCAAAACTAAGAATCTTAATTGAGAAAAGATCCCCAAGGCCAATGCCTTGGACTACTTTATTCCTAACTACCAAAACTGTCACCCGCTGCGATGCGAGCACCAAACAGGTCCTACTCCAGCGGAGTCGGCAGTTGCCGATCCCTCTAACCTACGCTCTAAACCTAATCTTCTCAAAACGCATGCTAATTCTAACTCCAGATTTGCTACTGCGTCCCGCGATCTTGTAAGATACGAATTGAGCTTCTTGGATAATCGGCGATGCCTCCGTCCGCTTTGCACTATCAATTCGGTTGCACGATGCTCAATCTCCCGTAACTAAAGTCCGTTGTGTGATTCAATCTGCCACAAAACATACCCGCGCAAACACCGCTCTACTCTTGCAATTAAGGCATCACGCGTCTCTTTGGATAACTGCCGATTCTTCCCCTTGGTCTCCGTCAATTTCGCTTCCACCTCGCATAACTACTCCTCAGCTTGCGACCGTTGCGTCCTTAGTTCACTTCACTGCGCCTCTAACTTCTTGATTAGTTCTAGGTCTAAGATCCGCGCAGCTTCGTACTTGGTCAGCTTCTTTGCCCTCACCGCCAACTCGATTTGGTACTCTTGCTCCTTCTTCTTCGCGGCAGCCGACAACTCATCCACCTTCAATGACTCGGCGTCGTGAGCGGTCCTACATGCCTCCAACCTGCTCAAGAGGTCCATACTTGCGCATTTGGCTCTCTCTACGTCCTCTCGAAGACCCTCGCCGACTTGCTCCAACTTTCTTTGCTTCTCAACTTCCTCGGTTAGCCTCTTCTGAAGTGCTTGGTTCCTTGCTTCTGTCGGCTGACGTTCCTTCGCGGCGACCTCAGCCGCCACCGCTACCTTGATCCGTGTCCGGTTACGCACAATCTCCACGTAGGACTCATCGGTGCGGCCGTCTGCATACTTCTCTCGCTTCCACTTGAAGTACTAAAGCAACGGAAGTACCTACACACATAACATGATGGCGGCACCCGACACTGGCGATTGTGTCTCTTCCGTTGAGGGTTCCTCACCCGTCCTTAGTATGACTGTGTCAGTGGAGGTCCGGGGTGAGGCTACCTTTTGCGGTCCACTCTTGGCTGCTGCTTCGTCTTTTACGGCCTTTGCCACAACTTCCTCCGATGCCACAAGGTCCTCCTCAATATGTGATGACATCGTCAATACCTCTGCGGCCCGTTCTGGAGAAACCTTCATCCGGATGCCCTCCAAAGGAACCTCATTCTGTCTCATGAGAACTTCCTCAATCAAGACCGCCTTCCCCTTATCTTTCTTTGAAGCCCGTTGTGGTTTAACAGGCGTCGACCGT